AAGAAGCAGAAGTTGAAGAGACAAGAGACAAGGACCTTCTTCCAGAGCAGACACCGAAAGCTTCCCCCTAGAGCAGGCACCGTGTATTCAGACATCTACCCCTACATTGTGAGAGAATTCATTTCTCTTTCTTAAAAGCCCTCCACTTGCAGCATTTCAGTAATAGCAGCACTAGAGAACTATGACCTTGAGTGTAGGGATCAAACTTCGGCAGTCATTTAGATAGTTAGAATCCAGAGATATTTCAAAATCAATTGCTGTCAAGTTGATTCCGATTCATAGCACCCCTGTATAGGGTTTCTGGGGCTGTAAATCCTTACAGGAGCCAACAGTCTCAAATTTCTCCTTCGGAGCAGCTGGTGGGTTTGAACCACTGGCCATGTAGTGGGCAGTCCAACACATACCTGACTGAACTACTTGGGCTATTTTGAAATAAGGAGGCTGGAACCCTGGGGAATGAGCAATCTACTTGAGATTCAGGCTTGCCCTGCTCTGTTGCACCAACAAAAATTCTCATGACTGAAGTAAGAAGCAACATCATGGTAAAAAGAGAAAAGCTTGAAGTGGTCCAGGATTTTATTTTACCTGGATGCATGACCAGTCCCCAGTCAAGAAGTCAGCTGGGGTATTGCTTTGGGGAAATCTGCTCCAAAAGAGCTCGTTAAAGTGGCAAGGATGTCATTTGAGGACCAAGGTGTCCCTGGCTTCATGTGTAGGTAAAATCTGGGCAAGGATTAAAGAAGTTCAGAGAAGAATTGATCCTTTGAAGTACGGCATAGGTGAAGAATATTGAAATCACCATGGACTGCCAGAAGAACAAACAAATAAAATCAGAATTCTCCTTGAAAGCAAGGATGGAGAGACTCCATCTCACCTACGTGGGTTATGCTATCAGGAGAGACCAGTCCCTGGGAAAAGATAGCATGCTTGGTATGGTACGAGGTCAGCCAAAAAGAGGAAGACCTTCATGAGACGAACAGTAACCTGGCAACGGTTGTGGAGATGGCACAGGGCCAGGCAGTGCTTTGCTGGGTCCTACACAGAGTTACAATGCTATGTGTAGAGTTACTACGAGTTGGAGCTGACGCTACAGCACCTAACAACAGGCACTAAGACTACTGATTCTAGGGTACTTTAGTCAGTCATTCATTCACCCTTGAAATAATACCTAACTCGATACTGGATGTGGGCTTTGAGGATCCCTGGCTCTTGCCCTCCTGTCACTCTCAGTCTAGTGGAGAAAACAGTACCAACTCCTAGCAGAATTAAAGCATTACTAATCACCAGAAACTATGAAAGAAACCAACAGGGTATTAAAGGAGGAGATGGTTTCCGCTCAAATGGTGAATCAAGAAAAAATTTCCCTGGCCTGAAAAGTAACCAGGACCAGGTGACAATTAGGCAGATGAGTGTTCCAGGCGGTTGAAGCTTCACATGCAAAGGCCCTGAGGCAGGAAAAAGACTGGGAACTTCAAAGATGTTCTAGCAGCGACCAGGCAGACAAGATGCAGGAGA